AGCCATGCAAACAGTATTCACAATGACTGCAACAATGTAAATGAAAAGAACAAATTCAAAATAATCAAAACTGAATGTTGTAAATTATAAAGACTAAGCTTGGCCCCTAAGAAGAAATATATTAAAAAAAATTTCTGCTCATTCCTTTGCAAAGGTAAGGAGTTTGTGAGAATATAAGATTAAATGTGTCAGGTTTTTTGTGTATTGACTGGTTTTACTAGTTTTCTTTCTCTTAAAAAAAACTTTGTTGTAAGGAACAGCTTTCTGGGATAGAGAGGAGCAATGATACAGAAAAAAATCTAGGTGATGTAAAAATACTCAATAAAAATAATTTTTAAAAGAGCGCATGGAAGGGCCTTTAATATTGTTTCTTTTAAACTTGAGCTTAAATGCTTCATTCATGAAGCCTTTTCTAGACCCTTCAGCTGCTAGTACTTTCCCCACTTCTCTCCAGATTATATTGTATCAATGTTTTATATATGTGTGTGTGTGTGTGTGTGTGTATTTGTACATGTTTTCTCCTTTATGAGAATGTAAACTCCTTTATTTAAGACATATATTATTCAGTTTCTGTTGTCGTATCCCCCTTGCCTAGCTCAATGTCTCACACATAACAGTCTCTTTATAAATGATTGTCGATGAAATGAAAAGCATACTGTATGTATGAAACTGAATAAGCATCATTTACAGTGAAGAAATTCTGGAAACTTTACCACTGAATTCAGGGGAAAAGCAAGGATATCCCCTCTTTCCTCTGTTATTTGACATAATATCAGAAATACTGACTATAGCAATAAGATGAGAGAAGTTAAAATATAAAATATAAAAAGAGGAAACAAAAATAGCCCTAGCTGCAGATACTGGAGCAGCTAGGTGGTGCAGTGGATAGAGTGCCAGGACCAGAGTCAGAAAGACTCATCTTCCTGAGTTCAAATCTGGCCTCAGACACTTACCAGCTGTTTGACCGTGGGAAAGTCACTTAACTCTGTTTGCTTCAGTTTATCATCTGTAAAATGAACTGGAGAAAGAAATGGCAAACCATTCCAGTATCTTTGCCAAGAAAACCCCAAATGGGGTCATTAAGAGTCAGTCATGACTGAAACAACTGAACCACAACAAAAATTGCAGATATTATAATTTGCATAGAAAACCCAAGGGCATAAACAATTAAAAAAAAACTGAGACAATATTTTTAGTTAATTAACAGGATACAAAATTGGGCCACAACATAGATGCAATTCAGTGCAGTATTAATGGTAAAGGTTATAGAAAGAGAAATTCTATTCAAAATTCATGAAATATCTGAGTCACCCAACTAAGAAACTCTCAGGAAGTATATGTATATGTATGTATATACATATATAATATGTATATTTATATATTATGTATATGTGTGTACGTATATATGTACATATACATATATGTATATCCAACATTGCAAGATTAAAGGAATACAAACTGAAAGAGAGAGACAGAAAAGAGAGGTTCCTTTTCCATAGTTAAGTTCACCAATATGTCAAAAATTACCATACCACCTAAATTAATTTGCTGGTGTAGTACTTATCTGTGTAGAGGCAACCAGGTGGTACATTGGATAGAATACAGGACCAGGACCTGTAGTCAGGAAGACTAGAGTTCAAATCTAGCCTCAGATACTTATTAGCTGTGTGACACTGGCCAAGTCATTTAATCTCTGTCTTTCTCAGTTTCCTCAACTATAAAATAGAATTAATAACAACATATACCTCCCAGGGTTGTTGTGAGGATCAAATGGAATAATATTCATAAAGCACTAAAGTGCTTTGCTTGCTACATAGTAAATAAGTGATTATTCCCTTCTCCTTAAACCAATCAAACTACCAAGGTGTTACTTTGTAGAACTTGACAAATTAATAAAATTCATTTGGAGGAACAAAAGATCAAGTATTTGTTTTTTAAAAAAAATATATGGAAGACACTATACAAAGCAAGATCTAGAAACAAATGGAACAGTGGTTAGTAAACCCAATTACACAGACTACTGGCAGGACTTCTTATTAAACAAGAACTGCTGGAAAAACTGGAAAGTAATTTGGTTAAAGATAGGTTTAAACCAGCATCTTATGTGATATACTACTATTAACTTCAAATGAGTAAGTAGCTTACTTATAACAGGTCATATCATAAAATAATAGAGGACAATTGAAAGTTACATTTTTCATTTGGCTAGAGGAAGAATTCAAAATCCAACAAGGGATAACAGGGATCACAAAAGAAATTAAACTAGGTCATATCACATAATAGTTTTCCTTCCTTGTCTCATAATAGCTATAAATTTAGTAAGCTTGTCATCTCTGACTTAGCATCTAAGTTATTAATAAAAATATTGAATTGAAATGTAAGAAACAAATGCAAGATCCAAAAAAGGATATCAATCTGAGACCACTTAGGGTAGGGGTAAACCTAACCTCCCAACCCCACACAATACAGTAATTGATGTTTATAATAATTACTGAGTCCTCAAGAAAAGACATTCTATTTGAGAAGTGACTGGCATATGAAATTTACTTTGGGAGAATTCTGCCCAAAATTGCTGAAACTGTAAACTACTCATAAAGCCTGGATCTCCAGAATAACTCATTCCCCAAAAGTTATAGCTAACTGAACTTTACTGTGTTTCTCGAGTAGCATGGAAGTGCTAAGCAAGAAGCCCAGAGACCCAGATTTGAATCTTACATTACATCCTTCCTTCCTCTTTGTGTGATCATCAGCAAATCTCTGAGCTTCCATGTTCTCATTAGAGAGCCTACTTCTACTTACTTTGCAGGGTTTTTGATAGAAAAACATTTAAAAAAAACTTTCAAGTATTGAATTAAAGTAAGTAGTTATTATAGCAAGTTTTGCTGTAAACATTGTTATTCCTTCAAGCATTTCCTGCAGTTCTTGAGGCCATGTGAAAATAAGATACATAGGATTCATACCATATGTATTTCTGGGGACTATGATTCTTGGGAAGAAAAGGCAAGGGATAAGGACCACTGTCAAATTTTGATTGGGGTCCTAGCTTCTAAACTTACTTTAGAAGGAGTAACATTAGGGAGAAGATAACTCAGGGACTAAGTAGTAATAGCTGATGTTTAATAATAGATTTATAAGATTTCATATATATATATATATGTGTGTGTGTGTCTGTGTGCGTGCTTGTGTGTGTGTGTGTGTGTGCACACGTGTGTGTAATTTCAGTTTATCCTCACAACAACCCTATAAGGAAAGCATTATAGCCATTAATGTGCTCTTTTTATACCTGAGGAAACAAATTCAGAGAGATTATGTGCTTTGCCCATTTTAGCTAGTAAATATTGGAATTAATATTCAAACCCAGGTGCTGCCTGACTATAAAGTCCAGAATTCTTTACACTGCACCCTGCTGCCTTTTACCAACATTTTTCTGGAAGTTTCAGAGTCAACCCAGAGTCAATATATCTAAGAAATATATCTATAGGAAAATAGGGAATTGTGCTTCCTAGTCTATTAGAACATAGTAAAGTTCTGAATAACTCATTTTTGTGTGACTCTGATAGCTCTCTCTGGTGAGGCTGTTTTAAGGATTTATCTGTCATTATATATTTGACTTTATACAGTTATATGGGCAGCGAGCTGGTACAATAGGCTTGGAATCAAGAAGACTCATCTTCCCGAGTTCAAATCTGGCCTCAGATATTTACTAGCTAGGTGACCCTGGGCAAATCACTTAACCCTGTTTGCCTCAGTTTCCTCGTCTAAAATGGACTGGAGAAGGAAATGGCAAAGGATTCCAATACCTTTGCCAAGAAAACTTCAAATGGGGTCATGAAGAGTCGGACCCAACTGAAATGACCAAACAGCAATACAATTATAATTGTATATTTTATAAGCATCTTAAACCTTAGAGCTAGCATAAAGGCAGCTTGGCAGAGTGATTAAAGCATTGAACATGGAGTTCAGAAGACTTGGGTTCAAATAGTGTCTGTGATACTTATTTGTTGTCTGATCATGAAAGTCACTCATTCTAAACCTCAGTGTCTTCATCCATAAAATAAGGGGGTTCAACTCGATGACCTCTGAGATCTCTTTCAGTTCTAATGTATGATCCTGTGAATTGAATTGAAAAATAAAACCTTCCCTAAATACTAGAATAAAAACAATTTCTCAATGTGCAACCCAAATTCTAAGCAATTCATTAACTTCCAAAGTGAAATAAAATAATGATAGGCAAAATCAAGAATAGGTGAGAGATGAAGAACATTTGAAGGAAAAATAAAGAGTTCAGTTTTTATACAAATGTTGTTATGACATCCTAGACCAAAATGAATGAGGACTGGAAGATAATATTTAGTTTCTTGGAGTAAATTTCTTCCGATAAGGATCTGTGTTAATTTTTTTGGATACATCACAGCACCTAATACAATTCCAGGGACAAAGTAAGCTCTTGATAAACACCTGTTAAATTGATTTACATTTGATTGCCATTGTTGACCTTGATCCTGTAATAGCATGGGTTTGAAATCTGTCCATGTTTCCTTTAATAATTATAGACTCTAATAATTGTTAGATCCCATGAAAAGCAGAAGAAAGCAAAATATTTATCACTTTTTATGATGAGTGTAGACATGATTTACTATAATGCATCACATCTTTGCTATATTTATTGAGATCTTCCATCATTCTTTATGACTTCTCGGGAGAGGAGGGTATTTCAGTTATGTAGATACGCACAAATCAAATAGGTATCAAATAATGATGATTCCTATAAAGACAGTAAAGATCCTAATCAAAGGTGTTTTTCATCTTAAATTCCTATCTGATGGAGGGTTTTTTTTTCAGAGAGCAAATGAAAACTTTATTATACAGATTATTATATAGACATTCAACACACAGATTTTTATACAGAAATTTTTTCTACCAAAGAGGCATTAACAATAAACCAAGTGATCAAAATAAAGCTTTTACAATCAAGTTTTCCATTGGGGGTTTCCTTTTAGCAAAACTGTCAAAGTGTCAAAGAATTTATTCAAGCACATCTGCTCCGCACAAGGATAGAACGGGATCTAAAGGTGGTGATACAATTCTAAGAAAGTGAATGCACGAGTTTTTTTTTCTCCCCATCACCTTCACAAGTAAATTGCTTGAAACAACTAACATCTGCTGTTTTGAAGCTAATCTTAGTGTATTGAATGCTCTTAACCATTTCTCAATCCCACAGTCCTTTATCTTGCTTCTCCTGCTGCGTTCCCACCACCCCTGATCCCATTAGCAAACCTTGAGACAGCCTCAGCCTTACCAAAGTGCAGCTTTGGTTTCAGCTGCTTTTCTGCAAGAGGAAGTGAATGTTGGGGGTTTTTCTCTGTGGCACAGTTGTGATAAAGCTGTGGTGGTCTTATCTCTCTTTTAGGTAGTAGCTCTTTATGACTACACAGCGCATCGATCAGATGAGCTCACCATCCATCGGAGTGACATTATCCAAGTGTTGTACAAAGATAATGATAACTGGTGGTTTGGCAGCCTCACAAATGGACAGCAGGGTTATTTTCCAGCTAATTATGTGGCTGGTAAAAGTAAGTTTTATGCTCTTTTCCTGATACACTAATGTGGGCATAACTGATGGTGTAAGATTTTTATCATTTTCTACTGCTTAGTTTACCGAGCTGATCATAGGATCAGAGATATGGGGTTAGAAAGGACCAAGAGGTGATCTAGTCCAACATCCTAATTTTACAGATGATGAAACTGAGGCCCAGAAAGATGAAGTGACCTCTCTCTAAGTAATCTGTGTGCATAAATAATCAGACTGAGGTGTTTGTTCATTTCATGTTTTCTCCTCCAAAAAAGAAAAAATAGGATTACTAACACATTAGAAATCTATTGTGTTCTGAGATTGGGTAACATTAGCCTCACTGTCTGTAATCACACACGGTCCCCCTCCAGCTATCAAACTTCTTCCCCATAGCCTTTTCCCCAGCCACCTGCTCCACAGAATTTTGGCAGCTCTCAGCTTTCCACAATATCTCCTCAGTTCTCGAGCACCTAAGATCTCCAAACTTCTGACTCCCACTTTGTAAAGTCATCGATGTCAGTCTCGACCCGTTACTCTCTCCTCCACAACAGGTTGTTTCACTCCCCCAAGTAAATGGAGAGGAAGCTTTATTTTAGAAAATGTAAGTTCATCTGGAAATTCTAGATCTGACTTGCTGACAGCTGTAGATTGACTACCAGATCCCCAAAGGTGAAAATAAAACTGACAAGAGTATAAATTGGACTTGAAAAGAAAAAAGGAACTAAAAAAACAAAACAAAAACCCCTCATCACAAGGGAAGTAAATCAGTCTTCTATTGAAGTAACCATCAGTTCACCAGTGAAGATTACGGTGTAAAGAAAAAGAAACAACACTAAACTGAGAGCCAGAAGATCTCAGTTCTAGGCCTGGTCATTGATTAACTTTGGGATCCTGCGCCTATCATTTAAGTACGCAGAGCTCCAGCTTTCTCATATGTAGAATGTGGGAGTTGGATTAGAAATTCTTTAAGGTCCCTTCTAGCCCTAACATTCTTTGTTGGTAATTAAATGATATATAATCCTAGGATTTGGACATATTCTTCAAACCCTAAAAATGAGAGATCCTAACTCAAAATGTCTTCCAGACAGTTCCCAAACCAATATTGATGGGTTGTATCCAGAATTTGTTTCCAAATCATTTGATTTAAGACTTAAACTTCTCTCTCTCTTAAAAGCAAGTAACCTTATAAATGGGTGTTAGGGTTCTACTACTCATCAAAAGCCTGTTTAACTCACAATATAGAAAACGAGGCATCACAGTAGACAGAGTGCTTGACCTGGAGTCAGGAAGACCTGAGTTTAAATTTGGCTTTAGACACTGGTGTTCAATTCACTTAACTTCTGTCTACTTTAGTTTCTTTATCTATAAAATGGGATTAATAATAACACCTGTCTCCCAGGGTTATTGTGATGATAATAGGAGATATTTGAGGGGCAGCTGGGTGGCGCAGTAGATAGAGCACCGGCCCTGATGTCAGGAGGACCTGAGTTCAAATCTGGCCTCAGATCAAACACTTGACACGTATTGGCTGTGTGACCTTGGGCAAGTCACTTAACCCCAATTGCCTCACTAAAAAAAAAAAAAAAAGGAGATATTTACAATCTTCAAATTGCTTTGTAAATGCTAGCCATTAATTTGCCTCTTTTCAGCTTCAACCCGTTCCTCCAGGTGTTTTTAAAGGCAGCTGGGTGGTGCAGTGGGTAGAGTGCTAGGCCTGAGTTAATATTTGTAGCCCAGAGCCTGGAACGTAGTTGTTCAGTCACTCAGTCATGTCCAACTCTTCATCACCCCATTTGAGGTTTTCTTAGCAAAGATACTGGAGTGGTTTGCCCTTTCCTTCTCCAGCTCATTTTACAAATGAAGAGACTGAGGCAAACAGAGTTAAGTGACTTGCCCAGGGTCATACAGCTTTTAACTGTCTGAGACTGGATTTGAACTCAGGAAGTTGAGTTTTCCTCAGTCCAAGGCCAGTGCTGTATCACTGCACCATTTAGCTGCCCCCTCCCCCTCTGGCACATAGTAGGTGCTTAATAAACATTTATTTTCCCCTTCCCTTGCCCCCAATCTGGCTGAACAGTAATACTAATAATACTTCATGACTTATTAATCAGGCTTACCCCATACCTACTTTTTTGGACAACTATATTTAGACTAGAGTTTACTTGTTGAGTCAAAAAAGAGTCTCGGTCTTTCCCTGAATGCAGTGCCAGCGCCATGCAAAGTTTGAAATGGACAGAATTTGTCATTAGCTTTTTCCCATCTCCCTTTCTGTGATTATTCTTTGGACCCCCAGAAATCCAGTGATATTTTGAGCTTCCTACAGAGACAATTTATACAGATTACCCCACCCCTGAAAGTGTTTTATGTCTTAAAATGATCCATATCCCCTAATCAGAACTTTTATTTATTCCAAGAAATCTTATCTTAGCTAGATGTTAGGAGGCAATATGAACTTCTCTTTTAGCCTTTCCCAGTGTGGATCCAAACTATCTTTCCAATCTCATGATACATTATTCCTTCTCCCCCATTACATGACCCAAACAAACTGACTTTCTCTCTCCTCCTCATACATGACATTCCATCACCTGTCTCCATTCCTTTGCACTGGCTGTATGTAGAATGTCCTCTTTCCCCATTGCCACCTCAAAGAATCTTTCTTCCTTCAAGATCCAGCTAAACCACCACTGTTTATAGGCCACCTTTCTTGATTTCCCACAGCTTCTCGTGTCCTCCCTCCCTAACTACCTTGTGTTTTACCACTTTGTATTTTTTTTTCTTTACATTTATTCTGTATTTGATTAATACAAATACTTATGTATTTGTTGTCTTCCCCGTTAGATTGTGAGCCTCTTTGAGGTTAAGGATTGTTTCATTTTTTATATTTGTATCCCAACACCCAGCACTCTGCCTGGCACATAAAAGGTGTTTAGTAACTGCTTATTGATTGTCTGATGCAGTCATTCATTCATTCATTCATACTAGTGGAGGCTAGTCCTTTGGCCCTCAGAGTTTTTGTTTTGTTTTGTTTTGTTTTGTTCTTAATGTCTAAAGGATGCTTATTAGCCTTAATGAATCTCTGAATGTCAGAATGTCAGACAGCAGAACAGTGGGAAAAAAATATCAAGCAATATCAAACACAAGACTGTGTTTGGAGGCAGCCCTATCAATCCCCAGAACAGTTTCTGTTTTTGACAGCTCCTTTGCTTCTTCCATTTCTGAATACACAATTTTTCTAAAAGCCCAGTTATGTATCTGTGATTATAGTAGCAAGAAATCTGGTTACAGGTAACCATTTATAATATTTTACAGTTTTATATTTGGTGGCTTATATATTATATCATAGTATTTTAATAGTGTGTTATATGTGCATATGCCTACATGTATGTGTATTTGTATACACATATATTTGCATATATGTATATTTTGCTTGTATATACATGTGTGTACATGTTTATTATATATATATGATGAAATAGTCATTAACAAGAGAGACTGTCAACCTTATTAGTAAAATCTGCTTTATTTATCCCTTCCCTGCTCATATTATTTCCATACATTCCTACCTAGATATCTGCATATCACATTGCTGTGTTTTCAATCCTAGAACAGCATGACACCCAGTCATCAGAGATAGTACAAAAGTCTTCTTCTTATTTCTCCACTAAAGTAACTGAAGAAAAGAGATCTCCAACTCCACAAGAGGTAAATATTTGAGAGAAAGGGAGTTTTTATGCTTTGAGTGTACACTTGTATTTCTATTCCTTCAGGATAATTAGACTGATTATTTGTAACTCTGATTTGTTGATCTCATTACTTTATCTGTTGCTTTAGTTATGAATACTCTAGCTTCTTCCTCAACTGCAGTTAAGTAATATAGATGTTTGTATTTACAGATACATTCTCATATTATGTTTAAAATTATGCCTGCTTTGTTGGATGGGATCCATCTCCAGTTATTGGAATGTGCTAATGTAAATTTTAATATCCCCCTCCAACCAGCCCCATCAAATGTTTTATACAGTGGAATCTCTTTAAAAGATTGGTATCTGAGGTCAATATGAACAGCATTGGGATCTGGTCAGTAAGTTAATCATTTGAGAGTGATTGAATCAATCCTTTTTGTGATCCCAGCACTTAGTGAGGTTCTGTCCTACTACTCGACAATTAAGGGACAGCCCTTGCCTCTGATGACCTACCTGGCTTCCTGTTGCATCTAGGGCCACTTAACCCCAACTGATAGCTGCTGCTTTATTGAATTCTAGGACTGAACCTGTCTTTAGACTTGGAAATGAAGATAAGTAGTCCTAGGTCATTATGACCAGCTCAGCATTGAATCAGTCTTACTGTTGGTCATGCACTACAGTCTGATTTGTTCCTCCTTATTCTCATTTAATCTTAGAATCATAGTATTACATTTTACTGATTGTATATTTAGAGTTAATTTAATCCAAACTCTGCATTTGACAATTGAAGAAACAGACCTATGAAAGTAAGATGACTTGTCCAAATCACAGAAATAGGAAGTGGTAGAGCAAGATTTGAGTGGTTATTCTGACAGAAGTCTTCTGACTTCTGCCTTAAAATTCCAGTGCCACTGAATCCTATTTTCCCCTGAACTAAGTCCTCGGATCCCTAATGCTTGATTGTCCTGAAAACGAACTCTGCCTGCCTCGACCTGCTGCAGTTAATGACTACTGCTTTGGCCTTCCTGGATCACTCGGTCCATAGATAAGTGCTGTCAGCGCTCTACTAGACGTAGGCCTTTTGGTACATGTGTCTTGAACATTGCATACTGGTCTCTTAGGTTCAAACATGCTTTGAGACTCTCACTTCTCAGTGTCCATCCTTTGAATAGCCAAGTGCTAGTATTTTACCCATGCTGTGTCACTTTTTCTTGACTCAGCAGGAATGCCTAGAATTCTAGATCCAGTCTTCCCTCGTCTGGCCTGTCAGTTCAGATCAATTCAGCAGATATATTGTCCTCTGCCCAAGTCTTTCACTGCCACCAAGGAGCTTACATTCTCTCTGGTTAATAAAATAAGAAAGAATTAAAGAACTTGAGGACTCTGGGTTCTTGAAGACTGCCAAATTAAGCATAAGTTCTGGAAGGTCCAGTGTAGGCCCCATGACAAATTGTATTCCTGTCATCTGGAAGCCATGCTAGCAAAGTTAAGAGAGACTATAACTAGAAGATTGGTGATGATTGTCAGCCACAAGAACAACAAGACAATTGCGAAGACAATTTGCTCCAATGTACAGGGGTTGAGAAGGGGTGGAAAGGGTTGTAATTTGCATCAGTAAAGGGAACATCCACATTGATGGAGTTGCAAATCTTCTGAAGTATTGAAGTCAAAATTATATTCAAATAGTATGGTACAAGCTGAAGGACTGTGCTACTTTAGCCAGAGAGAAATGAATGTGGACCAAAGTAGTTAGAAAAGGTTTCATGGAAGAGATGGACTTCAATTGAACCTTAAAGAATGTGAGCATTTAGTAAATCTACATGTAGTGTTTATATGTATGTATATATGTATATGTACACACATGCATGCACATACACGTATTATATATACACATATATGTGTATATATAAATATACATAGTTATTGTGTTTAAAGATTTATTCTTGATATATCCAAATTCATATAGTGTAGTCCTTAATTAGTATATTTTGTTTCTACTTAGAAAAGCATGATGTATACAGGTAGTCAGTATGTGACTAATTGTTAAGTAGAAATGAGAAACAACTTGTAGTTAAAAAAAAATAAAGAATCACAGAATAGGAGACTTGGGTTCTGGTTTGTCATCTGAAAATAATAGGATGGAAAAGTACGACTGAGGTTCCCAACATGACGAGAATTCTAGTATAGTCATGTTTCTTGAGTCATATGTTGGCTATCTCCAAAGTCTTAGTGCAGTTTTAAACTTTAATAGCTATTAAAGCTATATAAGCAATTAAACATCAATGTAGCTATTTAAGCTATTAAAGCTTAAAACTGCACCAAGATTTTTGGGACACCTTGTATTTAATTACTTCAGTAAAATAGGTTTGGTTTCATAGAAGCAAACAGACACTTAAGTGGCTTTCCCAAAGTCACTCAACTAGTTAAGGATAGGATTAGAATTAGAACCCAGCTTCTTTGACTCTTGAGTCTAGTACTTTGTTTGCTGCTATCACTACTGCGCTACACAGCACCCCCAAACCATGAAATAGATCATAATTTGTGCCATTATCTAGCTCTGTCTCTGTCTCTCTCTATGTCTGTCTCTGTGTCTGTTTCATTCTAATTTTGCATTGTCTTTATGGTATCTGACCTTCTTGACATACTGTTCCAGAATTGTACTCCATAAACTCCTATTTAAAACTAGGTAGGGTTTTTTTTTTTCTATACAAACTGAAGACTAAGAAACAAAATTATACCTTGTAACAGCTTGGCAGCTAGCCTTAAAAGGTTCGTCCAAGTGGAACACACCTGCTCACCTGCTAAATGTGCCAGGTACCTTCCAACATTGCATTGATTTCATTTAAAGGTTGGTGGCTGAGAGCAGCACATGTGTGCTGGCATATCTACTACATGAGATATAGAGGGGAGGAGACTGAATTAGTGGGATTCCATCAAGGCCCAAGCTCCTGAGTTGGCAGACGTGGAGTTAAATCCCTAAATCAACAGAAACCCAAGCCACAGCAGGTGGGAAGGGCTATGGAAATGAAGCAGAGAGTTTGCCTGAAGGCTCATTCCAGAGTTTATGTGGTAGAGCACTGTAAACTACCCAGCTGATAAACAGAAGGGAAAGTATTGATGTTATCAGGAAGGACACAAATTCAGGGGCTTTGAAGAAAGTAGGGCTGATAGCAATGGCTAGTTTTCTCTTTGAGGTTTTTGCTTTGTTGTATCCTAAATATAACCTTAGTTATCTGCTTATGTGGGGAGGAAATTTAGGATTCAGCTTTTTAGTAATAATGATAATTCATATGTCTGTAGTGCTTTAGGATTTGCAAAGCACTTTCCCTTATAAGAGCCCTTGGAGGCAAATACTAAAATTATTCTTATCACCATTTTAGAAATGCAGATACCAAGGCTCACAGATTAAAGGATTGCCCATCTCTAGTAAAGTTGGGGCCAGGATTGAAATCTGGATCTCCTGTCTCCTAGTCCAGTGTTCTTTTGTCAGACCTCTCATTTTTAATCCCCCCAAATATCAACAGATTAGCAAGCCCTCTGTCTTCCTCTTTTTCAACAGATGCAGCATATAAATGTATTTGCAGCCTGCAGAGATACAGCCCTAAAAAAATCATTGGTAAATAAAATTTAAAGTCATTTTCTAAGCCTATAGAAAAGCTATCATTCATCTCCTCCAGCATTTTTGCAAATAACCATTATATTGTTCAAATAAAAATATTTTAAAAAGACTTTTCAGTGATGATTTGCATTTATGTAGTACTTTAGAATTTACAAAGCACTTTCCTCCAAACAACTGGGTGAGGTAGGTAATGTAAATATCTCCTCCTTACAGATAAGGAAACCTAGGCTTTGACTTGCCTAGGGTCATGCATTTAGTGTAGATAGGTCTTCTAATCTAGTTTGCTTTTTACTATTAAAGGGGATGAAAATTATATTTTATACTTAAAACCGTAAGAATATGAAAGACATTATTTTTTTAAGTCAGTTTGAGTAGTGAAGCAAAATTAGCTTAATGGGTACCTTGATTCAATTCAATTCAACAAGCATTTATTAAAAGCCTACTATGTGAGTGGGACTATGATTTAGCACTAATTACACAAAGATAAAGGGCAGCTACGTGGCATAGTTACTAGAGCACCAGGAATAGATTCAGGAAGACCTGAGTTCAAATCTGGCCTCTGACACTTACTAACTGATGTTCAAGGAGGACAAGTACCTCTGGTGTAAAGGCTTGCAAATCCTTTTCAGGGCTGCTTATCCATGTTTGGTATCGACTTGATCCACTCAACTCTAACATATAACTCCAAGAAGCTGTACTATGCTCCAGTGGCCATACCCTGGTAATCCATCTCAGCAGAGGGCTAACCCAGATTGAGGGTAACCAACGGGCCTCAAACCCATTGGTGAGTTAAGGGGGTGTCTACCCCAAGGATGTGAAGAATTTCCCTGGTGGAATGGGGGGATAAAGATGGCCAGGAAGGCAGCTAAAACAGTCTCTATGGAGCACTTCGAGCTTGATCAGACATTGGAGGTACCAAGGTCATCCTCTGCATCTTGGTCCATCGCCAGTCATCTTGACTTTCGTCTTGTCACTGAACTTTGATGACTCTGGAAAAGAGGGTGCCTCATTTAAATCCAATTCACATGAGAGTCAAGACATCGCCCCCTGTATTCTTCAAAATTAAAGGCTGAACAATGACCCTGGGCAAGTCACCTCACCATGTTTGCCTCAGTGTCCTCATCTGTAAAATGAGCTGGAGAAGGAAGTGGCAAACCACTCCAGTATCTTTGCCAAGAAAACCCAAATAGTGTCACAAAGAATCGCAACTAAAGCAACTAAACAACAACAAATGAAAAGATAAACAGTCTCCCACAAGAAACATTTTACTGGGGTGATGCAATATGTGCACAGAACAGTAAATGTGACATGTATAGAAAATAAATACCAAGTAATTTCTGGAGGAAGGGCTCTATCGACTCAGAAGATCAGTCAGGCATTATATTGAGTTGAGATATAAT